ATTAACAAATGATGGTACATGAGTAGAAAATATTGTTTACATGCTGGTTAGCAACAACAACGACGCAATTAAAAGTAGTCGATTTAACAGTATTTATTTATTTATAAATACTGTAATATACAAAAATACTTTTTTTTAAGAATCAAAATGTTTTTTTTGACTTACAAAACTAAATGATCTCTAATATTTTCTTGTTATGATACATTTTAGGTAATTTTCAGAAATTAAAACCAATGCCAGGTAGTAATGACCTATCAAAACTGAATTATCTCTAATAATTGCTTGTTATGATACACTTTAGGTAATTTTCGACATTTCTATATTTAATCTCTGATATCTTTCTGGAATGACTTTAATTATACCCTTATTATTCATACATACCTTAATGTTTATTTTATTAAATCAATAAAAATAATAATCTATTTTTTCATTAAATTTTATTGTAGTAAAACTCTTAAGACCAAAATTTCTAATGAATTAGAAAAAATTGAAAAGGGTTTCGACTTTCAACTGACATTTTTAAATGATATGTTATTGCTGTTGGATAACTTAAAAGTTTTTAATAACCTAGGCATGGATATAAAAAAATGAAGTTTATAACAGGTTTTAAAATAACAATTAGCTCCATTCTTCATTTATGGGATTTTCTTAAAACAAAAAACGTTGAGTTTCTTTTTACTAGATGTTTAAACCAAGATCCGTTAAAAAATTTGTTTGGTCTTATAAGGCAGCAAAATAGTAATTGTGCTAATCCAACAGTCATTCAATTTCAAAGAACCTTTAGAAACTTGTTCTGTGTGAAGCTACTCAATTCAGGAACTCAAAACTTCGAGAATGACATGGATAATATGCTTTTGCGAGTATCTGATGCATAGCCCTCAGAAGGTCTAGATACCGCATCGTAAAAACATTTTGACCCCCCATATGATGGGCGCCATGATAAATAAATGTCAATAAATTTTAAGTTGGCACTACTGACAAGACAGAATCGGCGCAAGTTTAGTAATAAGCGTAAGATCGGCGTTCGACGTATATAATCGATTTTATTATCTGTTTTGTTATTTATTTTGTTTTTCTAGTAAAGGTTTTATTTAAAACATTATTTTTTAGTTTAGTCGTTTAGTGTTTTATTTTAATAAAAAACATTTGTGGTTTGGTGTTAAATTTTTACAGGATTTTCAAAATCTCTTTTTGTTTTGTACGTGAATGTAACAATGCATCTAACGGTAGAAGATACAAGGAAGGAATAACATTTCATGTGTAAGTTTTCACAAATATTTGTGTATTTACAAAATCAAATAATTTGTATGTTTTGTTGTAGCATACAAAAAAATGTTAGGAAAGAATAACTGATAGCCATAGGAAGACCATTGAATCATTTTGTGACTTTAGTATAAGCCCAGAAAATTTGGGGATACTAGCTGAAACGGCAAATGTGTTATTGGCTCCTTGTTAGTGACCTATTGTACAATTTTTCCAACACAAGTTCCATGATCCTTTCAACTTGGCTGCACCGTACTGATGAAGACCTATAGTCAGAAAAACGTGTCGACCGTTACTTCTTTTTTACTTTTTTTTATTCGGAAAATGTCCACTATTACTACCTTGATACAATAATATTAGTTCCGTTCTAAGTAGGTACATATTATAGTTTGTATGTTTTATGCTTTATTTTATTATATGTAATAAATGATAGGAAATATACTTTTATAGTAAATAAATTGATTAAAGTAATATGTAAGAATAAGTTTATCTAAGGATTAAATTGTTAAAGCAATTTTTCATATCTATTGTTCATTAATTTGTTTCATTTAATTCTTTCTTATTGAGTAAGTTATTTCATATAAATATTCGATACTTGTAAAATGTAATATTTTCTTTTAAATAGGTATATATTATGTTCGTATAAAATATTGTTCAGTTAATAAAAACAGAAACATTTTGTCTTTTATTCAAAAGAAGTTTGTAAATTTTTTTAAATATATTTACCTACCCCAAAAACAGATTAATAAAACCAGTTAGTCATATACACATTTTCTATATATTTATAGAGGTACTTTTTAAATAACTTTCAATACATTCGAAATCTGTGGTTTTATTAAACTCAATGTAACAAATAATAATAATAGGTATTCTCAAAAATATTTAAAAATAAAATCGAGATGGGACTCTTGTATAATTTAGTGACTATTCGCCTATGGTTAGTGCACTACTGTATGTCCCTGGGTTTTCTACATTAGAACAATACTGCTTCTCCACTCTAGCAGTATTTTTTGCATCTCAGATTATATTTATTAAAAAACCAAGGAATTGTTTTGGGCCTATTGCTGGGCCCTTTTCCAACATTTCCAAAGTTTTTTTTTTACTTTCTGCTGATTGGATCTCCGATAGCGACAACTCCATTTGTTGTTCCACTAGTTTTTTATCAAATTTTTAAAATAACTTCTATATATTTATCTTTTGCAATGACTTTGCTTACCTGCTTCATAATCTCTTCCCTATGCCCCAATTTCTCTAAAAGGTGAGATCTTATACTCGCTCTATTAAATCAAATTATCATTATAGTTTATTTGAAAATGCTTGGTAGCACAGTTTTTATGGCAAAGGTCCATATTTTTATATAATTTTGCTATTATTCATTTTCAAATAAACTATAGGAATAGGAGTAATCTATTAGTTTTTCTAAAATACCTTGTTACAGATGTAAGTATATCTTTCCCTAGTTAAAAAATTCGAGTTTTTATTTTCATAATATAATATAAATAAATGACCGGTTAACAATCACATTCTTTTAAATAGTACATTTGACATTGAAGTAGGTATTTTCTCCATATTGCCAAACAGAAACAGATGGTTTACTTGTAATTTGAATTATATTACATAAATCTCACTGAATTTCTCTATAATTCTCATAGCAATATGTACACAAACCACTTATCCAATAATATATAACCATGTAAAAATAACATTTCAAGAACGAGAAATTTTATAAAACCGGTCCTGTCTGAACAGATCTAGGAAAATCAAATATGTTTGTCAAAGTTTTGTTCTTAATTTGAAATTAGAAATTGTGCGTCTCATTCACTTATAACTAATAACAAAGTGCAGATTATCGGTGTTCACGTATTACAGAACACACAAACTAAAAATCAGTGTAGCCAAAACATAAATTTACCTAACATGGCGACAAGCTTGAATGGGGTCATTTTTTTTGTATTGACAGTATACGCCAAGCGGTATCTAGACTTTCTGAGGGCTATGATCTGATGTCATTAAAGAGGATACAAATTCATTCGTAGCTCATACACATCCCCATACATCAAATTTGCCAGAAATTGATAGCAGTTATCAAAAAGAGTCCACGTTAGAAACGAATTTCGAAAGGTATTTTGCTGTTTACCTAATGAAAAAATGCCTATCTATACATTCTTGTACAATTTGTGAGGAATATTCAAAAGCCTATCAAAATTTGGACGATAAATCTTTATTTTGTTACTGTAAAGCTTATAACAGCTCCAATTTACATTTATTTGGTAACTTAAACATGCCACACAATGATTTGGTAAAATTTATCTGCTTTTTAGAGGTAATATTTCAAATGAATTTTGAAACTATTATTATACACAAAAATGTAATAGATACATTTCAAAGTATTTGTACAAGTTTTTCACATCCATGTGAAAAATTTCCACATAATTATTTAATAAAATTATTCGGTAGAGTAAGATTATTTTATACTCTTAAATGTATTAACAGAAATTTTAAAACTATAAAAGACAGAAAGGTTATCAATTTGGAAAGATAAGTAAATATTTTTTTATATATATATATAAATCTTTTACTTACCTATATTTGTAATGTATGAACTTAAAAAATAAATCAATAGCTACCCAATATTTTTTTTTATTTTCCTGACCTTTTTTTCGGTGCGCCTATGAAATACAAGTAATAACTAAAAGACGAGGTCATAACTCGTCGGCATCAACTACAAACGAATTAAATGAGAGATATATTTCTGGTTATTATTTATTCTTGTGATATTACTTTCTGGAAGAGCATATTAGCCACCAAATTTGAAAAAATATTTAAAGGCGTTTTTGATTTATGGCAAATTTTGAATTTTGGTTTCAAACTTTTAACACCCTGTGTCTCGGCAACTAAGCCTTTTAAGGGTGAATGCTTCTATATTAAAATTCATCCTTTAACGGGGTAGAGTTTGTCTGCCGAATATACTAACACTCTGTTTGAAATTTTGTTTAAATAACGGGGTTATGATCGACAAGTAATGTTATTTTTAACAGACACGTTATTTGTAAACAGGTTGTTATTTCTGTGTGTTTATAAAATAACAGACCTGTTAAAAATAACACAGGCTATCAATCATAACCCCCTGTATCTGCCTACAAGTGGTTTTCTTCTATTAAATAGATAGTCCAAAAGGTAATTGTGTGTGTGTGTGTGTGTGTGTTAATTCACTTGCGTATGTGAATTAAAGAAGAGGGTAGACACAACATTTATTGTAACTTTTACATTATTAATTATTAATTTGTTATATTTGTAATAAATTTTTGATATATTTTGTTACCAAATAAATTCTTTTTGTTAACATAAGAAAAACTAGAATATCTATGTTGTTACGAAAACTAAAGATACCAAACCAAACCTACATTTTTGAAAAGATTAATATTTGAATCTCATTAAGATATACGAAAATATACAAAATATTCGATTTAAAATAATACATATTTTTTCTTTTAATTTGACCTTCATTATGAAACACCCTGTATTGATGTGATGAAATGTAAACAAATTTGAAAAAAAACTTTTATGTAAACGAAACCAATTAGTAGAAACCCCATAAGTTTAGAGCAAATAATAAGCTGTGCATTTATAAAATCACTCTTATCTGGGACACCCTTTATATCAAAACTTCAGAATTTTTTACAATTGACTAATTTACTTTTAAAATAATCCGCGTCCTTTTCATTAATAAAATTTACCTGTATTTACACCAACCATGAACAAAACCATAACACTTCCGTATACTTTCCACATTTTTAAAAAGATGCGATACCTATTCGAAAATTAAAGTTGTCTCAAGAACCCTTGAAAAGTCGTCGACAGCGTTCAAAAAGCGTCAAGCCACTGAGCCAGCAGATAAAGTTTGTAAACAAAATGCGTGGATACAACCAGCGTGGCGACGTCCAAAAAGCGTCGTGACGCCTCCATTTAGGGACGCCAAGGATATGTGGCGCCGATTCGCCGATTGCGATGCCGTTATGGGAGCTTTTTCGTCCTGTGGCATGCCGAAGTGTATAGAAAGTAAGTCCCTGCACCATCATAACACACTAACCTCGTGTATATATTGTAGTCCTCCTGGTCGATGACACAAACAACATTGGCGTATCTTAAAGGTCACGTCCTGCTCTAATTCCTCGATTTTTTTATAGCACCCTAATTTTATTTTTAAATATACCCATAATTTTGTGGAAACAAAACATCTTGGCTCTGAAATAAATGAACATTATCGCCTATATAATTTCCTAGTATGAACTTAGACAAAGTGATTTTAGCAGTTTTTGAAAGGATCCATTTAAAAATGTGGGATGTAGCCAACTAGTTACCAGTTATTTATTAATATGATAACGCTGTAATATAAACATTATTACTGTTCACATGATAATAATTAAAAGATAATAAAGTTTGAGGGAACAAATATTTGGTACCACTGAACCATTTAAAAAATTATTTTTTTTAAAGCTGAGTTTACCTTAAAATTTATGCCAAAGTATTGCATTTAAATCATCGACCCTAGACTTTAAATACCTTTTAAAAAATTCGAGAAACGATAAATTAATGGTTCCCTCCTTATTAAGACTGAGGCCTCTGCGAGCAAACTCGTTTCGTAAAAGGAGAGAGAAACGATTTGATTTTGAACGAATGATCGAAAGACGATGATAAACGTATTTTTTAGTTGACAAAATTATGAACATTTTTATAATTTACTAAATAATGAAACTTGGTTGTCTATATATGAGCCGCTATCAGTAAATGAAAAATATGACACAATCACTTCATTAATCTCAAAACATTTTAATCTAGATTTTAATTCAGCTCTTCCTGTTAAAAAAGTTAGCGTTCAGCAGAACCGATGAAAACATAAATGGATGTTTCATAAAAATAATATGGAAGACCAATATAAATGGAACATTTAAGCAGAAATTGAAACCTTCTGTGCACAAAAGCGCATCTCTGCGCAGTACATCGCAAAATAGTGTATCTACAGGGTGAGTCGGGAGGAGCGCACCAAACTCTAGGAGTATATTATACACGTGAAAATAATGTAAAAAAACTCATATGTTCTTATCCGATTTTCATTTGTTTTCAAGTTATAGCATATTAACAAATAAACAAATTTACACAAAAATTCTCTTAATCATAGCGTTCTTTCAATAAATGTTCAAAAATACCGCCATTGACTTCTAAACATTTTCTGCTTCGTCTACGAAGAGCGTTTGTTGCTCTCCTAAAGCTAGATGAACATTTTTAATTACGCCATAACTTGAAAACAATTGAAAATCGGATAAGAACATATGAGTTTTTTTACATTATTTTCACGTGTTTAATATACTCCTAGAGTTTGGTGCGCTCCTCCCGACTCACCCTGTATAAGCATACGCAGCATGCATGACTGTGACAAAGAAACCCAAATTGTGCATTTTATCTTCGTGAAAATGGGAAAAAATCAGAGTATGTAAGACCTTCTTGATCAACACACTTGGGATATCAGAAAAAATGATGAGAACTGTAATTTATTTAAGAGTATCTGAACAAGGCATTATTGCAGAAGATCGCAGAGGGAAACACGACTACCACAGAAAATTAGATGAAGAGCTAAAGAATTCTGTATTTGACCATATCAATTCAATTGAAAGCCATTATATTCGTAAAGAGACAAATCGTGAGTTCATAGACGGTGGGATTACATTTGCGAAAATGCTTAGAGATTACTGCGAGAGAAGGTCTGCTTCTAACCAACCATCGGTCACATACGATTATTACTCAAGAATCTTTAACACAAAATTTAATATTAGCTTTTTCGTAGGGGAAACTGTCCTAAAATGACATACCCCGGTAAAACGACACACTGTACTCATTTTGTTATTCCGTCCAACGATTAGAATCAAGGCTCTTCGGTGTTACGTGTAATAAGTTAAGGAGTTTAGCTTATCAGTTAGCTGTCAAAAATGGTATATAGCACCGTTTTAATGATGAGAATAGGATGGTTGGTTGGGAATGGTTAAGGGGATTCAGACAGCGTCACCCTAAAATTTTGTTGAGAGAACCGGAGCCAACATCGATGGGAAGGGCACAAGCTTTTAATAAGCCACAAGTCGCTAGGTTTTTTAAAATTTTAGATGAAACTTTAAAAAAACATGATATATTGTTAACCAGAATTTAGAGTATTGATGATTCGGGACTCTCAACTGTTCAGAGACCACAAAAAGTATTTGCTAAAAAAGGGAAGAAGCAAGTTGGCGCTATAACAAGCGCAGAGCGCGGTCAACATGTTACCGTTGTTTGCTTTATAGGTTCTGGTGGAAGTTTTATACCACCATCTTTAATTTTTGCTAGAAATAGCTGGAAGAATGAATTGATTGATGGTGCTCCACCGGGCACCCAAGGTTTAATAACTGACTCTGGTTGGATGAACGGAGAGTTCTTTTTACAGTGGTTGAATCACTTTATTGAATATGCAAATCCATCTCCAAATAACAAGGTGCTACTTCTACTTGATGGCTACAAATCTCATAATAATTTAAATTTATTAACATTGGCAAAGGAAAAGGGAATAATAATGCTTTCATTTCAGAAATATGTTTTTTTGGTCCGCTAAAAACTTATTATAACCAGGAAGTAACAAAGTGGATTAAAAAACACCCAGGAAGGATAGTGACCCAATTTCAAGTAGCAGCAATATTTGGAGTAGCTTATGGATAGGTAGCTAGCATACACAATGTAGTCAGTGCCTATAAAAATTCTGGTATAAATCCATACAATCCAAATATTTTTTCCGGATCATCTTTTTTGTCCTGCTGAAACTACCGACCTACCAATGGAAAATATTCATGAACTTAATGAGGCAGAAGTTTGTCCTCCGAAAACACCTCCACCAGTAAACACATCACCTTCCCTAAATCCTCTAATACAAAACTCGCCAAAGTCCGATAGAACTAGAAATACATTATCTACTGTTAATGTAAATGTTAGAGTTAAGCCTTCAGATATTTCGCCGTAACCTACCACTTCCACCATACAACGAAGAAAGAGACAACATGATGAAGCTCAGATTTTCACAGATAGTCCATTTATAGCCGAACTTAATGCAAAAGAAGCTGAAAAAAAAGCAGTTAAGTGAGGCGCGCTGCAAAGAGGGCTAAACAACAAATAGGTCAGCTAATGGATACACAAAATTCTGATGAAGAAAATGAGAACGCTGATCTGGTTATTGATAATGAAGATGCTTCATGTTTATATTGCATAGATCTGTTTAGCAGATCTAAACCAGGAGAAGCCTGGTTACGCTGTTTGACTTGTTCATTATGGGTCCATTCGAAATGTGCTGGGTTATCCACACGCGCTAAAACATTTATTTGTGAGATATGTAAACCACACTAATTTATGTGCTGTTATTATCCTAATTATAATTTTGTTTTTATTTTATGTATTTTTTCTTATTTTAATGTAAAAGTTATTTATATATTTTTCATAAACTCGAAGGTGGATAAAATGACATACGAGTATGTCATCTTTCCTGAGTTACCTTCGATAAAATGACACAGTTCACTCTTTTTTAAATATGCAATAACACGTTTATTAAGAGTAATTGGTGTATACCCTTTTTTATAGTTGATAAATAAATATATTTATGTAAACTGCTTTAGTTTTTATTCCGAAGGTATAAGAATTTTGCAAGATATTAACGAATAACCTTAGGGTATGTCATTTTAGGACAGTTTCCCCTACCTAAAAAAGATCAGTGCGATCTTTGTGAGTCGTATAAAAATGCATCGGAAGATGAGAAGAAAGAAATTGAAAATAAGTATAATGAGCATTTGGAGGAGAAAATTTTAAGTCGTAAAGAAAAGAAGGAAAGATAAAATAAAAGCCCAAGCTGCAAGCATTTCGTTGGCTATTTGTAATTTACAGGCAGTATTGCCTGTTAAAGTAGGATAGTCAGCTTTTTTCTACAAATCGCGTTTAAATTGCTACAATTTCAATGTGAGTCATATTTTAACATTTTTTTTGTTTACATTTTTATGTCCTTTTTTTGTTTCAAATAACGAATATAACAAAAAGTTCAACAAAAGCATTTTTTTTGGCATGAAGTTTTTGGTAATAAGGGTGCTGTTGAAATAGGGAGCTGCGTTTTGATTTATCTGGAGGAACTATCGAAAAGCCAGCCCGGATTAAACACAGTTTTTTTTTCTGATAATTGTATGGGCCAACAAAAGAACAGGAATTCTTTAAAACGCTATACCTATTTATCATTACTTAATTTGTTTTTAGATTTCTGATTATAGCGTATCTCTATGAAGTAGAGCACTTTGAAATTGGGTCTATCACACATACATTTTTAATACGTGGGCATACCCAGAATGAAGCAGATGCAGTCCTCAGCATTATTGAGAAGAAAATTTCCTTGGCCAAGACGTCGGGACCCATTTATATTCCCGACCAGTATGTTTCTATTATCCGGAAAGCCAAGAAAAAAGGAAAGAAAATTGAAGTTAAGGAGATGGGTTTTGAAAATTTTCTTAACATTAAGGCATTAGCTGATGACATGGGTCTCACCATAAATAAGAATACGGTTGGAAAAGACTTTAAAATTAATGAAGTTAAAAATTTTACGATTTATAAAAGGAAATAATGAAGAGTTTCATCACAAAATAAGTTACAAACAGAAAGAATGGCTTCAAGTGAATTTTAAGCAAAGGACAAGATCAAAATGCCTACAACAAGCCATTCCAGTTAGCTGAAAATAAAAAAAAAGGCTTTACTGAGTTTGGTCACGTCTAATCTTATTCCGGCGTTTTATAAAAACTATTATGAAAGTATACATATTACGTTAGATAAGAACAATGATGTACTTTTCTGGGTGGTAAGTTGTGTTTATTATAGTAATAACTATGGAAGGTTTTGTTTTTTAACCGTTTTTTTTTTGTTAGTTTTA